CGCGTAGTAGGCATATTTTGATTGGATAGTTGTTCAGGCTAACTGAAACATTTCAATAAGTTCATCTACCTCATAATTAATCACCACTGGTCAACACTGATCTCTTTTATGTCTATTGAACTGCGGCTTATAAGCCAAGAGGTGAAGTTTTCTTTCAGGAGGAGATCAAAAGTCCTTTGGTTTTGTTAGGTGTTAGGTTCACGGATGATCACTTGAATGAGGTAGAAGTCCAGTGCCTCCATGTTTTCCCGATTATTTCATTTCATGCTAGCCTTAACTTTTTATATTTTCTGAAATCATTTAGTTTCATGGAAACTGACACATGAAATGAACTAGAATTTAAAAATATAAGTCATTCAATACCAAACTTAGTAAATTGAAGACTTAATATATGAAAATATTCAACAAATCAAAGCAATTGATAAGCTAATAATCACAATGAAATTAATAATTGTTAGTAGAAAGACAAATGTACTAGAAGTGGTAAAAATACTAAACGAGCATAACAATATCAGTCTAAATTGGATACATAGACTTCAAATAATCATTGCAAAACATTATTAGGATTACGTAACAACAACAATTAGAGTGTAAATAATTAGACAGTGAACAGAACAAAACGGAAAGAGACAGAAAATGAGCCAGCAAACAAACACAGGATGTGAAAATAATACTTTGAATAAAATCATCTATTAACTTATATCCAGTCAAGGAAAGAACATGAGTGTGATGAATCTTTCTTTGAATACATAAACTAGGGTCGGTCATAGATTCAGAATCCTATAATTTCTGGTAATTTGAAGGAGACGGGATTTAACCCCCATTATGGAGGTATACAATAGATCACTTGAATCATTTATAGGCTTACTTTACCGTTCTTGATAATAATTTCAGTGGTTGTTTTACAAAGAAGTGAACTGTCTGACTACTTCACAAGTCTAAATCCAACATGTTCCATGTCCATACCTGTGAGTGCTTGTCTTTTTCAGCAAAAATAAATACTACTTATTATTTGTTCTAGAAAAGGCCAACTAATCAATCATTTATCACAGAGAACAAAATACATTTGAAGGCATCCCTTTGAGTTAACAATTTATGACATAGTTTATCTATGCGAGTTTATACTAGCGAAATAATTGTTGAAAATTAAAAACAACTCAGTAGCGCTTGAATAAGATACAGTTTTTAGGATTTAACTGGTTTTCAAAATGAACCAAATTAATGTTTGTAATGGACTTTAATAATAGTGTCTATTGTTGTTAAGTGGATCGCAGTAATCGATAAAACAAATTCTAATCAACCATTTTTCATGTTAGCTGACACTCATTATTAGTTTTGTATTTAGATTCTCGAAGAAGCTGATGATCCTTGGTCAAACGATCCCACGAGGTTTAGACCCTACCAATCAGCTGTGTTAAGATTCAACTGACCTGCTCTGTATGTCTGAGATATTTTTTACATTGATTGGTCATTTGGTATAAATTAATGTCTTGTTCTTCAAGTCCTTAGTAATGGTGAAATTCTATTGACCAAACAGTAATGTGTTTGTATGTAAGTTTTATGTACAATTAAGAATGTCTTCATAATAGAGTAATTCTGGTACGTTGTTTATCTGGACATTTCGAGTGCCTCATCATCAACATCATCTTAGTTTTGTGTATGAAGTTTACTTGATGAAAGTTATCCAATGGACAGACAGAGATCTCGTTCTTTCGAATATGAAATAAATTTTGTATCGATCGATCGATCGATCGATTGATTGATTGGTTGTTTCTCTAGCCTATGAGACAGTCGTCTGGAATTTTCTTTATTCTATACTATTCATTTCTAACTAGTTTCATTAGTGTTATGTTATGTTGTGTTTCACATATAAAAAAACGGACCAAAGAAATAAGACATGTATACATAAACACATTACAAAGAAATAGTAGAACAATTAAGATATATTCTGGGAATAAAATTTGATCATTTACGATGATGATTGATTTAAATTTGATTTTTGTGTCTGTTTACAGTGTTTTAATTGAATAAATAATTTGAAATAACAATTTTTAAACAGGGAGGGCTTTGTGTAGATTGTTGAATCTATTCTCATTAAAATCATGGACTGACCGTAGTTGGATAAACACTGAAGATCAGGATGCTTGAAATAACACTACTTGAAACAGCGTGTGACTACTCTATGGTTGAAAAGGTTAGGCATTTGACTTGATAGATGAAGACATTGAGTTTAGTATCCTGTGATGTCGTGAGTATGTACTATTAAGAAATCCCATGTCGAGAAGAAACAGATGCTCAATGCTTTATGGATTTCAGTAGTTGTATTACTAAGGATAGTTAGTGATGTAAACCATGAGGGTTTTCAAGTCATTTTAAATTAGGTTAGCATTAGGATTATGTTCACTGGAGATCATCTGGAGGATCAAATCAAGTTCTTTCTTGTTTAGATCAATAAATACAATGTACCTTCAAAATACTCTTTAAAACAAATCTATCGATTCTTTGTGTTAATATATGTTTGTATTAATGTCCAAAGATAAGGTAAAGTGTGTGCTACTCAAATTTTCTGCGCTAAAAACGCTTCATTTTCAATATTCAATGATATATATATATATATTCTATGAGAATATATAAAGACCAGTTATTTATTACAACATATTATTTCTTTTATAATTAGCCAAATCAGAACCACCTGTATCAACGCCAGAATCAGTTACAAATCATGTTATACCATTTGAAAGTGAAACAGTTAAAATACGATCACATATTGTATTATTGGAACCAGCTCCAGCAAATTATAAATTACCTGAACAATTACCCGCATCATCTGTTAATATATCGCCAAATTTAATTAAACCAAGTTTAGATAAATCAAAATTCACTAATCAACTTACCATTAATAAAGCTGCATCAGGAGATAATCATATAGCGCAACCAGTTGATACAGAAGCACGTGAATTAGCTAGAGGCAATGCAAAACCAGCTACATGGAAAGATTTACATTGGGCATTAATTGGCAAACGTAATTTAACTAGTGGTGAATTAAAAGTTAAAGCATTATTCTCATGGTTATGTTCAATTCCAGTTGGTCATGTACCATTTTTAACATATGAAGAATTAGAACAAGCTGATCATGATGGTGTCCCATATGCTAAAGATGCTTTATTGAATAAAAGTAAAAAATTACAATCAGATTCACCGGAATTTGTACTCAATGAAATGTCTCATGGAAAAGCTACATATCTTCAAGTTAGTAATGAATGCCTTGTTTCTGTATTGTATAAGTTTTTGAATTTTAGTTAGACAGTGACTAATAAATAGTAAAGTCCAAGATGTTTGTTTCTATCTATTTGAGACAAAACAATTGTATGTACTTTTTGTTTTAGTGTTCATGTTGTTTACATTGAATCTTGAATTCAGGTACATTCGCTTATTGAATGTTGAAATAGGATAAATTTCACAAAAACCAGGATTCTAATCTTAATCAATATCTAACTTGAATGAAAACCTTGCTACTAAATGACAATGTGAACCAATATAAAGTACAATTTTTACAGTTTCAGTTAATTTAAACAACTCGAGAACTAACGGATATAGATTACATTAGATTTTTGATTGACAGTATGGAAGTTAGTTTTAATTTCGTTCTTCCACATGGTCCAAGTAATCCCTTATTGGTTTAACCGCGAAAAGCAGTCAATCATTCATAGAATTTAATTTAATTTTAGTTAAAAATGTACAAAAAAACAGTTTATTCTGGTTAGATGTTAATCAATCTTTGTCAAGGGTCTTCTATCACACTTGAGATTCAGTACAATATATAATACACTAATAGGGGGAAGCTATAGGCCACGTAAATTGTTCATTTGTGTTTTTCAATGAAATGGACCTTATAAGTTCTTAGGACCATAAGGTTGTGAAGATGCGACGTTGAACGAGTTATTATGTGTATATGACATATCTATTTGGGCAATATCGTTATAATCACGTCTCTGTTAAGGTTATTCTCGATATATATATATATATATATATATATATATAATTGAAAGGTTACTGGGAATGTTGTTCATTATCGAAACCATGAGTCAGTCATTGTTAGAATACCATTAAAAACCTGGAAGCACAGAATGGCCTTTCGTGCTGGCATGGGACTTATCAACAGTGCGCATCCACCACTCCCGCTTCTCTCAAGAATCGAACCCAGGAATTTCGGTCTTGCGCGACCTCTGGGCATTGGGCTGGTACATAACGGGATTTAAGTCAAACTCTGATCCATCTAAATCTTAGCACAACCTCACCCATTTTCTCTGTTAGTTACTGACATGTAATTTCTTTGAACCCAAATCTTACTAATTACCGTTAATACTTCTACTTTGTCTACTGACAATTGCGTTTCTCAGCTAATATGGTATAGCAACTTGAACTGATATATCTACGTACGAAGTTCTACGTTGTAGCTGACCGATCACAGGTTAAGTCGATTCCTGCCAGTAGCGGGAGTCAAAGGTGAGCACTAACCAAACGGACGTCCAGTGCTTCCAAGTTTCTCATAGTGGTTCAAAAATGACTGAATAATGATTTCAGTTACATATACATATATATGTCATGTATAGGTATAATAATTCGGTTTTCGAAACTAAACCTCTTCAAACAGTGTTAGTTTCCTGTTTTCGAGTCATTGATTCGGTAAAGTATTAAGAACACGATAATAACTAGGTTAGACAGCAAAACACAACACGTACCAATCTATTAAAAGTCGAATCAGCATTCAAATAAATTTTTTTTCTCTGTTCAATAAAATTAATCTAACTGAATAATCACATTTTTTTTCTCCAAATTCTTCAAAGGCTTTCGAGTCATTATGTCATTATTCCAATATACCATGTGTAACAGTGAAAGGTTTAGCTAAAGGTGTTGATTATGTTGTCGGTATGCGTTTAAATGATATCAGTGATCAATTACAACAGCCATCATCAATAATTCATCGATTACAACATGCATGGAATGCTGCTTATTTAGATGATAAATGGGCATTATTCGATCCAATGTGGGCGGCTCAACGATTAGCTGTCAGTGCTAATACACGTTTATCACAATTAGTACAAACTGGTCAAATGGATTATGAAACAGATATGTTTTATTTCAATGTTGATCCTGGCAAATTTATTTATTCTCATTTTCCATTTGATGAAGATTGGCAAATGCTTAAACCACCAGTCACATTAAAGGTAAGTTGATGCTTGCTTATTAGTTTTAATGCATAGGAAATGCAATCGACAATTGATTGGTGTGTTTTTAGTACATCATGAACTAATTTCAATTAAAACTTCAGTCTATTCTGTAATAATTGTTGGCGATGTTAGATACCCAGAACTCGCTTGATAAATAAATATCTTTATTTTTGATTTATTTCATGGACCAATCGATCAGTTGACCTTGAGATCATATTTTCCACCAGGAAAATCCTTGACTGTGATTGGTTACTGTGTCATTTTAGTGTGCTATTTTTGTGACTGTCCCAAGGACGTCTCTACAGAGTATAAATAAACGCAATTTGAGTGCTTGGATTCATTGTGTGTTGGCTGGGTGTTTGTAGAATACAATTTCTACACTATATCAAGACTTCTTACTGGTACAATTGGGTCAAGAGATCACAGTAGCCTACCTGGATGCTGGTTCATTGTTTTGTTCTCGTTATTCGACTAAGGTGAACTCGTAATAGTTTAAGCATACCTAGAGACCAGCGTAACTATAATTTGAATGATGTTGTAGCAAATGTTGTTGTTTTATTGAAGTCTGTCCAATATGCAAATATATCAAATAAGATTGATCAAAATTCATTGAATATCAACAATGGTGATGTAGATTCATCCTAAGACGAAGCATTCCTCTTAGATTCCACTCATAGCCAGATTTCATCTATTCTGTAATATGCAAAACTAACCAAATATGTTTGACCACCATTGGGAACCCGTAAACACTGATGGCTGTTCTGTCCTGGGATGTGATGCAGCAGCAGTACGCATCCTCGACTCTTACTGGTCGCAGGATTCAAACTCAGGACCTTTAACTTTTTTCTCATCAACACCAAACTACTGGATCTGGCCGGAATCCAACAGTGTTAATATCTAACTACGATCAATCCATGGTCTTGCGCAACCTCACCCATTGTCTTCGGTAACACTGCTGAACTCCACTAGTCTTCACATATCACTAGAACTTGGAGAAATCTTCGCACGGAGCTAGTCACTTATGAGCACACGATAATTTGCATGATAGGATTAACAAGCTCTTTTCTACAATTCTTTGATCACACGTTACAGTGAAAACACAGAAACGTCTGGTTGTGTTTGAATTGAAAGTTGACTCTGACTGACTGCATGACAAAGTATCTACATAATTTGATTGACTGAGTTTGTTCGAGATATGGTGCACCAATATAATTTAATGTTTTCCTAATAAATTATCTTTTTTTTCAAATTAAACAGTAAATAATGCTTTGAATTTTTTTTAACTACTGAAATGTTTTACAAGTAGGTTATTTTGAAAGATCAATTTTTTTGCCCTTTTTTAATTTAGCAATTTGAAAACAGTGTTCTTTTGAAGCCAGCATTCTTCCGTCATGGTCTTGGATTACTTTCACATCAAGATTGTGTTATACTTGCACCAAATAAACTTGTCATCAAACTATCTATGCCAAAAGCTTTGACAGATACATTGAAGTTTACATTCAATTTAAAATATGAAGAAAAGGACGATAATTTAGATGTAAGAATATGTGTTGATTCATTGATAATTTTTCCATATATGAAAAGTTAAAAATCATTGGATGAACATATTTTAAACATTTTTCATAAGGCAACCTATGAAATTTGAAAGGAGCGTTTTTTGATTCTTAAACTGAGTTATATTGATGTGGAAATAGGGAATTATTTTTACTTATAAATATTTATTCGCCAAAGGAGCATTATTTTAAGGAAGCTATTAACGGTAGATTACGAAAGAAGCACATCAGTGAAGATTATATTCTTAGTCCATATCTTATAATAGTTAAGGAAAATCTTTCGAGATTTTTTTATCAGTCAGTAAAATGACAGATGAATTTTATAACAAAAACTCTTACTAACTTAAGCCTATTACTCATACCAGAGTATAGGCTACCAACCGACATTATCCAGCCAACTGTCTACAGCAACATTTTGTGTACGAGGAATTTTCCTCTTGATGGCTGGAGTACATTTCTCCTAAGGCTAATCGTCTTTTTTCCAGCCTGCGTCAAATCCGTCTCATTTATTACAAGCAGCTCCAAATTGTATCTTTTCATTTCTGCAGAGACTTGAATGGTTCTCTCGATCTCACATTTTGTGCTAAAATTCCATGGATTCGTATTAATTGTCACTATATTTGTCAGAAGACCGACAGGTCTCATGACCTCCGAAGAAACTAGGCTTTCATCATGAAGCATGATAACTCTATTAACTTAATACCTTCCAACTCTCACAGCAAAGTTTAGATGGTTTGAATTATTTGTTCTGGTTAGCGTTTTTTTTAACAACTTAATTTTTCACTAGATGGGTTTGCTGACCGCATGTCCAAACTTTCTCTTTTATCTGTGCTTAGGGACCAGAGGTAACACCTAGAAAATCTCCAGACAGAGTTATAACTAAAAATTACTAAGTGGAAATTAGTACGGAAAATAGAGTCCATTGAAAATAACTATTGCAGCCTAATTTATTGTTTGTTTTCTCAGCTTATATGACTTGAACATTGAACTTTGAACTTCGTATATGTGATTATATTCTTTTTCCTCAACATACCACATTTTTGAAATGGATAATAATTTATAAGTGCTTGATCAGTTATTAAATGTCTATAAATAAATATGAACATTGAAATAGCAAAAAAATGACTTTCCCTTTTTATCGTTTGACAAAGAATCGTAACCTAATCAATAATTCATAGTTGCATTCGATGCAACTATGTACACAATCTGTATTATAGGTAATTAACTGATAATCGTAACTTTTTGAAGTTTGTTAGGTCACTAACATAGAATATTTGACTTTATGACTGAATTCTGTAAACTAATCAGTGATCTCAATATCAGTCAACACCAAAATTAGTATTTTCAATTTAAATGTCAAGACAGTTCTACTGTATGGAGCGGAAACTTGGACAACTACCAAAGCCATCATCCACAAGATACAAGTATGTATGAACAGTTGTTTACGCAAAATACTTCGGATTCG